TTAGGAAATTAATTAAAATAAATAAATATAACACATATATAAAATAATTATTAAAATTAACATATGATATATTATAATACATAAAATAGAAAATTATGACAATCAAATATATAAAATTAAAATTAGAATCAACATATAACTAAAACCTGATTACAACCAATACGATAACGGGTATAAAAGATAGAAGCAAATTATAGTTATACATATATAATCAATTATATACTACCTACACAATGTAAAAGATATATTTTTCATATAACATGGAGTTCGACTTTTCTTCTTCAATAATTATCACCCTTTGAAATTTGGATTCTTTAACAACAAAATATTTAATCACCTAATATCTCAAGATCGAGATTCGAGACGTACTATAAAACATATCACATATATGGATATATTTGGGAGGTGGTTGATACGTACTTGATACTCAATAGAAGAGTCCAACCTAAATCACTTCTAAACTTATTTTTATTAAAATATTAATTATATAAAAAAGTTAATTGATTATAATTATATACCGGGGTACTGGTCGAGCCTGTTCAAATCTCCTTTCTCATTGTTCGAACACGTCCATTAATTCGAACGGTCCTGCCCAAGCTCGTCCATATTTTTAAAATGGTTATTCAAACCCGCTTTTCTAAGTTCTAGCTGGCTATACCGCCATGAACAACTCGAATATACATGCGATGTTGTCAAACATGTTTATATAAGAAATTGATAAAATTATATTTTGTTGTTCAACTGTCCATCACGAAATAAACCAAAAAATCAAAAAAGATCTTCGTAAAGGTGGAATTCGACATAAAAACTAGTCGAATGTAAGATGTAGTTTTATGTTTTGTTCAAAAAGTCAAAGTCGATTGCATTTATAAAAATATACTTGTATCAAATTAACACAGTGAATTTTTCCCGAATCAAATTAGGACTTTTCAAACAATTTTAAAGGTATATATTTGTTCAGAATTTCTTTTATTCCACCACTGTGCGTATGTATTATTTGAAACTAGAAGGATACTCGCGTAATGTAGCGAGAGATATATCTTTATTTTAGTGTTTCGTTTTATTTTTTTATCTCTGTTAATATAATACGAGTTTATATAGTTTTGAGAAAGATAATATTTTTACTTTTGAATAAAAATAAATTTGAAGATATTATAAAATTTTGAAAAAATATATCGATATTAATATCAAATTAACTATTTAAAAGTTTGTGTTTTTTGTACAACTGTCTTTAATTCAAAATTTTAAGATAATCTAATTTAGGTCTAATAACGAAGTTTATTTTTGGCTTAACAATATAATTTTTATAAAGATAATGATTCTGTTAGAACTTAATGATTATCCTAATTATATTTTAGATTTTTTATATTTAATATGAGATGTTTATCTTGTATTTGATTATGTTTATCTGCAATTAATTATACGAATTCAAAAATTGAGCTTTAATAAGTTGTATTTACGCACAATTACTTGTAATATTAAATTTTAAGTAATATACATTAATAAATGGTACTTCATGTATAAAGAATGGTTTTTAAGAGTTTTTATCAAATGCTTTATAATATAGTATAGATATCGATTTAAAATTTATTTATTAATAACTACATATATTATAATAAGAAAATATTTTTTGTAAAAAAGAAATGTGGAATAAAACATTATTAAATTAAAATATTATAAATCATTTGGCAAAAACTCTTAAAAACCGTTTTTTCTTCGTGAAGTATTGTTTATTGATGCATATTACTTAAAATTAAAATTACAAGGAAATTATATATAAGTACAACTTATTAAAGCTCCATGTTTAAATTCGTGTAACTAACTGCGGATAAACATAATCAAATAAAGGATAAACATCGTATTTTAAAATATAAAAAATTTAAAATATAATTAGGATAATTATTGAGTTCTAACAAAATAATTAATTATTATATTTATAAAAAAATTATTATTAAACCAAATATAACTTAATTCGTTTTTAAANTTAATTCGTTTTTAAATTTTAATTAAACTATAATAAAAGTTTGAATCAAAGAAACTACATAAAAACGAGAACTTATAGTTAATTTAATATTAGTATCACTTTTTTTTTCAAAATTTTATGATATCTTCAAATTTATATTTCAATAAAAAATAAATTTTTTTTCTTTTTCTCATAACCATATAGCATCATAATATTGGTAGACCCAAAATATAAAACGAAATATTATAATCAAGATGTATCTCGCTGCATTATGCGAGTACCCTTCTAGTTAAATAAAAAAGTAATACAATGTTATTTGTTAAATTTTTTTAATTAAATATCAATTATATTTAATATTTAAACTAAAATATTCATCCTTCTATATTTGATTACTAGAATGATACTCGTGCAATGTAGCAAGATACATTTCGATTTTAATGTTACATTTTTTTTTGTCTCAATCGATGTTACAATACAGTTTTATGTGGTTTTGAAAAAATGACAATGTTTTTATTTTTGAACAAAATATAAACATGAATATATATCATAAAAAAAAATTATATTAGTATCAAACTAACTATTTAAAATTTCTTTTTTTTGTATAATAATATAATTTTTTATAAAGATAATAACTATTTTGTTAAAACTCAATGATTATCTTAATTATATTTTAAATTTTCTATATTTAAAATGGATGTTTATCCTACATATTTAATTATACTTATCTGTATCTATTTACATAAATTTAAAAATAGAGTTTTAATTAGTTGTATTTATGTAAAATTACTTGTAATCTTGAATTTTAAATAATATATATTAATAAACAATATTTCATATATAAAAAATAATTTTTAAATTTTTTTGTCAAATAGTTTGTAATACAATATATACATATATATAGATAATAAAAATTAAAATTAGATTTTTGATTGAGTTTCCTAATGTCGCTAGGTTTCCGCATGCTTTATAAACCGTACGTATCTTCCTTCTTCCATTAATTAGGGTTTTGTGTTGCAAAGATGGCAGACATCCATATACCCGATCTTCTTCTTCACAACATCCTTACTCGACTTCCTGCAAAATCCTTACTACGCTTCAGATGTGTATCCACTCATTGGAATCATCTAATTTCCGATCCCTATTTTCTGAAATCCAGATCACGTCCAATGATCCTTCTTCCCAAGCCACCTGATCAGCTTTATGCTTTAAACAAACTACCAGTCGACGATGATGCTCCTTTGGTTGTCAATCTTCTTGATCCTCCTCTCGAATACCATCGATTTACCATCGTTGGAACATTCAATGGCATAGTTCTATTGGTCCTTACAAACTTTAGTTTTGTTAAGAAGATGGTTCTATACAATCCATTCACCTCTGTATCCAAGATACTTCCCATTCCACCGTGGGCTCGACGTCAGCACTCCGACGATATATACGGGTTCGGCTATGGTGCCACCCCGGATGACTTAAAGATCATCATTGGGCGTGGTAAGTTGTACTCAAGTGACTATGATTCTAATCGCAATTGGAATAATTGCGACGTCTATAGTCTTAAAACGGGTTCATGGAGCACTTTAGAAAACATCCTTCCATCTCTTACCTATAAAGATGATGTGGGTGTGTTTCTAAATGGATTTTTGTATTGGGTTTATATTTCTTTCGTCGGTGGTGTCAAGGAAAATCTTGTGGCTCTTGATGTTGAGGAGATGGTAGCTTCTACGATGCATATGCCTAATCAATATTTTCATCTATCGTCTGCTTTGGGTATACTACACGGACGCCTTTGCACGATTAAAGACATCGTTCTTGGCAACGGGTTCGATGTGTGGGTTATGAAGGAACAAGGTGTCGAGAACTCGTGGTCGAAAGAGTTTTCGGTCAGATTAGCTTTTGAAGATGTGTATGGGTTGCTCCAGACTGTTTGTATTTTAGAAGACGGAAGAATTGTTGTGATTGATCGGTTGCAGAGGTTCATCATCTGCGACCCATCAAAAGGAACGTATAAGAGGATAAAAGGTTTCACAAGTCCTGAGATTATTTTCAAAAAAGGCGTGCAGTACATTGAGAGTCTAGTTTCTCCTTCAGATATATGGGTTGTTTGATTCGTTTTTTCATTAAGTCTGTCCTGTGTAGATTAAGCTTTTTATATAGATTGAGATTTTTTTTGTTTGGAACGGTTTTTTCATAGATGGAATGAGTGTTTTTGCATAAAGTTCTCTTAGAAACTTACTGATAAAGTCAATTTCTATATCATTATTAAACCATTTTCAAACAATTATGTATAGCGACCGAATAAGCTATGAGCCCTACTAAACTTATTAAACCACCAAAACAAACATGCCATTAATTGCTAATGTCTAATTAATATGGCCTCTTGAGGATATTTGGATTTGTTAATGTTAGCTTAATTATATTACTTATTAAGGGCTTTTTAGTCTTACTTTTATTTTGTTTGTCCTAAAATATATAAACCTCTTTAATTTATGTATGGTATCTATACTATATATTATAAAGTATTTAGGTTAAACATTTAAAAACCATTTTTAATGCATCAAGTACGTACTGTTTAATGATGCATATTACTTAAAATTTAAGATTACAAGTAAATATGCATGAGTATAACGTTTTAAAGCCATATGTTTGAATTCATATAACAAAATGATATATATATATATATATATATATATATATCTATACTACATATATAACCATTTAGATCATTGTCTTAAATACAAGTTACTAAGCATATGATACAATGGTTTTATGCACAAAATTCAAAAATCTCTTAAAGACAAGTCATAAAGCATATGGTACAACCTTTTTATGCATGGAGCCTTCTTGATGCCATTAATTCTATTCATGGTAACTCTTCAAATAACTTTTATCAAGATTAAGTTCCCAACTTACTTTTTTGATGTTTCTGTTTTGAACTAGTTTTCATGCATGGTTACATTCCACACCACCTCCCAAAATGGTCATTTCAGACCCTTGCTTTCTTCTCCACAAYTTTCTTCTTCCCTATTTCATGTCTCACCTCTTCTGCACTCTCTGTCTTTTTCTACGAATTCAAACCAATATGATAAATCTCCAACCCACCCCAAATTTAAAATTCAAATTCTCAAGATTAGTACTGTCAAGCCATACCAAGCAGTGATTTATGCTCTCAAGGTTCTTCCTTTTCTACTTCCATTGTCCCTCTCCTAAACATGGTTCTCCAAAACCCTAGCCACAAGATAGGCCAATATGATGTGTTTTCAATTCTCAACTCCGAAATAAWTCAACTTAACATGGTTTTCAATTTGAAGGTGTGGAGGTTTCCCTCTTTTTTATCAGTYATTTTGTTTTGCTTTCATTAGTAGGTGTCTAAACCTRAGATGGACTTCTTTGCACCTCCTTTCAAAGAGGCACTGATGCTAACCATGGAAGTTTCAAGGCAGAGGCTCGAGCTATGAACATTTGATGGTAAAAGTTTGTTACGATTCTTACAGTTTCAAGCAAAAAGGTTTAGCTTCAGTTGGTCAAAGTAAAGTCTACGTACTATTCATAGTCTTTGTCATGTGTTTCATGATGATGTGCATGATTRTCGACCATTTCAGTTCACTATGATATCTGAAGTCTAGACTTTATTATATATAATATATCAAAAATTTAACGATGGTGGTCTCTTGAGGWAATACMTTTTCTTTCTCTTGCTTTCCTTGATCHTATTTCTTTAGATTTTTACGTGTGAAACTTAAACCTTTTGTGTGTTTTCACAACTTTGAGTCTGCATCTTTTTTGATAGGCAGTATTGTTATTTTTATAAAGAACCCATCCAAATGCCTAAAAATATCCAAGTGTTCCTTGTTTTTTCCTTGCAACTCTGATTGAAGAATTAACTAGCAGGC